TAAATTGAGATGTAGAGAGATGGAAAGATATTATTTCATGTAGTAAATATCTATTGAATGTCTTTCATTTGCCAATTACTGTGTCTTTATTTAGGAATACAGCAGTAAATTAGACAGATTTAACCCTTATTCTTATGGAATTTAAAATCTATTTTTGGAGACTAGAAACAAATAATTAGAATGAAATGGAGTTATAAATGTTAGAAGAAAATGCAGTTTGTTCATTTCTTAGAGACTGAAAAGGAACAGGGAAGAGTTGGATGAGTTTGGATACAAGAGGTTTATTTAAGAAGATGACATTTAAGCCGAGACTTGAATAAGAAGCTGCTAACAGGCAGTATGAACGGCAAGGGCAAAGTGGGAATGAGCTTAGTGTGTTCAAGAAACAGAAAGAATCCTCCTGTGCCTGGGGCTCAGCCAGCAGTCAGAGAGTGATCCACGTTAAGTGGACACTGAGGACCCTGGCTAATCACTGCCAAGGGTGTTAGAAATTCTTTGATTTCATAGAACAACTTTGGGGACAGTGATTGGGGAAAGAACTATATAAAACATATTTCCTTGGATTTTCTCGTAAGCAAAGTGCATCTCTCCTTTAGGACCAGACTGTCCCACTCTTCTTAAGCTGCCCAGGCACTTTGGAAGCTGAGGGGGAACAACATGTCACAAGGAACTAGCTTTTCTGGTTCTTTTCCAAGTCATTCCCTAATAGACAAGTTCCTTTTGAATTCCTTTCTGAGTCATGCTGAAACAGTAAAGGCCAATTATCAATAAAATATGCTATTTTCTTCCCTCTTTTTGTTACATTTCTTTCATGGACAAACCTCTACCCTGTACCTTTCTTATTATTTAGTCATCGTTGATTCATCCTCCTCCCTGACTCACCGCATCTGGAAGGGTGATTATTATAAATCTGGAAATAAAAATACTTAAAGATAGTGCAGCTTGGTGGTCTCAAGGGTAAGAGGGATCAGGTTTCTTTATGCACAGATGCTGTATGCCTGTTCTCAAGTTTATGGCTTTGTGTGCTCTGCCTGAGAGCTTCTGAGTATTAAGAAGTGATCTCAGAATGTTTACCAAAATAAGATGTTTTAGTAATAGATAAAATGATGAGCTCGGTTCTTACTTTGTGACACAGGTTTAGCAATCCACAACACTGACATTATAATACCCTCCAAACT